ATTTCACACACACACACACACACACACACACACACACACGCACGCACGCACGCACGCACGCACACAAAATAAAATTCAAGGCAGGAGAATGTACAGGTAATATGAATTTTAAACTATTTGTACAATATGCTCTTTCTCAATTCCTTTTCTTTCTTTCTTTCTTTGGTCATGGAGCTTGAACTCAAGATCTGGGTGCTGTCCCTAAGCTTTTTTGCTCAAGGCTAGTGCTCTATCACTTTGAGCCACAGCTCCACTTCTGCTTTTCTGGTGGTTAATTGGACATAAGAGTCTCATGGAGGGCTGGGAAGGTGGCTCAGTGGTAGAGCGCTTGCCTTGCATGCATGAGGCCCTGGGTTTGATTCCTCAGCACCACATAAGCAGGAAAAAAAAAAAAAAAGCCAGAAGTGGCGCTGTGGCTCAAGTGGTAGAATGCTAGCCTTGAGCTGAAGAGCTGAGAGACAGTGCCTAGGCCCAGAGTTCAGGCCCCACGACCGGACCCAAAAAAAAAAAAAAAAAGAGAATAACATACTTTCTTGCCAGGCTTGGTTTCAAACTGTGATGCTCAGATGAGCAACTGGTGCTTGGCTCAATTTCTGTCTATATAATTATTCCCTCTGCCTTTCTGGATGGATGCATTCTGGAATCTTCTAATTCTTGCACCCCTACTTTCTATTCTTGTATTAAAAGACCACAGTTCTGTAACAGAGCATCAGGGTACTGTGCAAATGGATGTTAGGTGTTAAGTGGGTTTCTCTAATAACTCACCATTCCTATGGGAGCTACAAGCCCCTAGAATTGCTCCACGGCCTGTCTCGATTTCCTTTGGATCTCATCTGCTCCTGAACTGCACCTGTCTGTTGAAAAGCACACGTAAGAATCCTTCCAAGTCTTCACATTCAACGGTAAGAGTCTACCCCGTGCCGTCCAGGGAAGAGTTTACCCATCTCCTTGACAATAATACTCATCTGAAAAGTTCAAAACCAACCACTATTCTTGCTAGGAAAGTCCAGGTCTTCCCTTCATATTGCATTCAAGGTGAAGTAAAATGAGCCACTTACTAATAAGATCTCACAGAAAAACCCTCCCATGTGAGTTTTGTCATCAGTGTAAAATCATTACTATTTTTTTTTTTTTTTTTTGGTCAGTCATGGGGCTTCCACTCGGGGCCTGGGCGCTGTCCCTGAGCTGCTTTTGCTTGAAGAGACCACTCTACCACTAGAGCCACAGCACCACTTCCAGCTTTTTCTGCTTATGTGGTACTGAACAATCAGGGCTTTATGCATGCTAGGCAAGCACTCTACCAGTAAGCCACATGCCCAGCCCCATCATCACCATTTCAAGGCCCATCTCCCTACCTGTGAGAGCAGAAATGCATTAGATATATTTTAGAATTTTTTTTTCATGTCCCAAAACTGATAAGTTGTTAACAACACAGTTACAATATGACTTAATTGTGGCACTGATTTGACAATTCTTAGTTAGAAAAGATGGTTCTTTTAGAAAACACACTCCAATTATTAAAATATATTTTTTTTTCTCCAGTCCAACAAAGAACAGTATGTTAATGGTAAATATGAGGGAATGTAGGCCCAGAGATCTGAAATGCCAAGTCAGGCTTACACAACTAATAACCAACATTAGAATCTAAGATTCTTTTTTTTTTTTTTGCTTATGTGGTGCTGAGGAATCGAACCCAGGGCCTCAGGCATGCAAGGCAAGAG